CAGCAGCTAGAGGAATCCTTCTAGGATATAAGACACGCTGAGGCATCCCTCTATTCAAAACACTCTGCTGACTCCCATTCCACTCAAAGTAAGATCCACAGTCCCTATCATGGTCCACCAGGCCCTCATGTCTGACCCCCTTACCTCTCTAACTTCATCTCCTATGACCCTCACCCTTACTCACCCTGCTCCAGACACACTGATCTATTTGCTCCTCCTAGAACACACCAGAACATGGGTAGAACCATCACTTGATCCTGCTTTGGGGCCTTTGTACTTGTTCCCTCTGCCTGGAATGGTTATCCCCTGGATAGCTACATGAGTCTTCCCTTCACGTTTCCTTCTAGTCTCTCTTCACATGTCATTCTTCAGAAAGGCCTTTCCTCACCACCTTAAATAAAAAACAAGCCCCTCCATTTCTCCTTCTCCCTTATCTTGTTTTATTTTTCACCATTTGTTTACTCTCAGGCTCTCCTTTCCTATGAGAAAAGGGGCCAAGAATAGACCCTGGTACATGGCAAGAGTTCTGTAAAAACTTGCCAAATGAACACGTGTTGGCTAGAGTACGCACAGGTGCTTCATCAAAGCGCTAACTGAAAATATTATATTTATTCCTTTTTCCCAAATGAGTTTGACCAACCAACAAATAAAAAATCCTCACTGACACAGACATCAATATGGTGGTTACCAGAGGGGAAGGGGGGTGGAGAGAAGTTGAAGCCGGTAAGGGGGTCAAATATATGGTGACGGAAGGAGATTAAACATTGGGTGGTGAGCACACACTGCAATATACAGATGAGGTATTACAGAACTGCGCACTTAAAACTTATACTATCTTATTAACCAGTGTCACCCCAATAAATGTAATTGTAAAAAAAGAAAATGAGTTTGAGAAAGGGTAGGATAGTTGCTTTGAGCTCAGGTATTGCAGTATAATTTTATTACTGTCACTAGAGTAGAACTTAATTTGTTCTTCGAATATGAGTTGACTGATTTTAACTGGATGACTGCTTATTCTTTAATAAAGCCTAATTATCTAATGTGGATAAAATATAATTCAAAATTAAAACATTAAAGGGCTGACTACAATAGGAACTTTGGTAAAGGGTGATTATATTTAATTCAAGAAGCAGTTTATTAGTACAAATACTAACTTTTTCTCATAAAAATGTGTCACCTATTTTCCCCCCCAAATGGCACAAAATAATAGCATTTGAGAAGTGTTTTAACTTTTCAGAAAAAAATGTTTTCTAAAAATATTAGCAAAACAGATTTCTTGATTATAATTACCACCTGCCAAAGCATGTACTAATGGATAATGACATTTTCATATATACTTTCACACAAAGGACTGGAAGCATTATAGATGTGCTGCCTTAAAAATTACAGTCAATTGCTAAACAAATCACTCCTACAAGCAAATCTGCTTAAGAAGAAACAAATATTTTTAAGAGTCCAACAGCAACTATTGGGAGTTGCTTTAAATTGTTAAATAAACAGTTTTAAAAACAAACACACTAGGACTTCTCTGAGGATTGATACAGGCCAAATTCTATTACAAACTCCAAGGGGCCATTCAGTTCTTTTGTACTGTTAGTATTTTGTTGTATCAGATATAGACCTTATTAAGTAGGATATTACCTGATCTGAGGAATCTTTTTGTTCCCAGACATAGTGCTTAGTTTCATGAGATTTAGGCCTCACAAAACAAATGATGTCGCCAATGTCATCAATGGATAGTGAAATGAGAAAAATAAGGGCAATGATAACACACACATACACACAAACTGTACACATACACCCACAGGCACCTGAGAAATGAATGTATATAAGTGTTATTTATGGTTATCAACTTCTCTCTTTTGGGAAGATTGGGCTTTTTTTCTAAAATTGTGTCTTTCCTAGTTTAAAAAAAATATTAAAATATCCTTTCTTTTATGAAGTGATGGTGATAGTAGTTGGTAGTTGTTTTTTTAAAATACTGACAACTCTGCCTTGGCTGGATAGCTCAGCTGGTTGTAGCATTGTCCCATACATTAAAAGGGTGCAGGTTTGACCCCCAGTCGGGGCACATACAGGAGGCAACCGATCAATGCTTCTCTTTCACATCAGTGTTTCTGTCTGTCTCTTTCTGTCTCTCTCTAAATGCTGACAACCCTATCCCAATCTGTAAAAACAACTTTTTTTTTTTTTTTAATATTACTGGTTCATGAAATCCAAAAATCCACAAATGACAACTTTCTAAACAAACAAACAAAAATTTTGGCTAGCTTCCCTTCTTTATAGGAGAAAGCCAAACTCCTTAGCCTGGCATTCAGTCTTGCACATCCGGCCTTGAGCTATCTTTCTAGCTTTCCTAATCACAATGGGAACAGTCAGGCGATCAGCACCTGCCTGTGCTCACCTGCTTTGGCTAAGGTCACTGGGGTACCTTCAACCTTAGTCCTCCTGCTCCTAGTTCCTGACCTTAGCAGGGGTCATTTAAAGCCCCAGCTCCATGAGGGACGTTCAAGGAAAACCCTAGGAACTTAAACTCACTGAGACACTGAGCTGCAGCCTTCCCCTGGGCCCGAGGAACTGCGTTTTGCTCAGCTTGGTACTCCTCCTTCCCGTGGGCACTAAAGCTCTATTCAGTTCAATTCCAGTTCAGATGAGACCCTAAAACACTTGCCTGCATCTCACCAATTTCCTGTTCTCAGGGGCTACAACACATGCCCTGGAGTCAGGCTCCAAACCCCAAAGCTGGGTGCTAACCATCACACCCCAGGGCCAGACCTGTGTTCCAGGAAAATGCTCAAACTCCCTTCCACTGGGCCCTGGCTTCCTTTCCTTCCCTTCTCTACCTGGCCTGTTAGCATCCAGCAGGCATGTTGGCCAAGATTTTGGAGTTATTACTTGTGTCCCTCAATACACTGCTTTCCACTTATGCACCTTTTCCCTGGATAGACTGTCTGCCCTGAATGCTTTCTTTTTATTCCATGCTTCCCTAAACATCTCAAAGTCTAACTCAAACATGCCTCCTGACACTTTATTTTCACTATTCAACAAACATTTAGAGGGTTCTTGCCAGGCCTGGGGACACAAGGTGAATGACACAGGCCCTGCCCATTAGGAACCCAGTCTCTCCTGAGTGAGAGCCGAGGGGAAATTACTTCCCTTCCACAAGTTAACGTCTGAAAGGGTATACTTGGTGTAAACATTGTTTTAGGCACAGTGGGGCTCTATAAGTATTTACTGAAAAATAAATGGAAAAACATGGCTATATTTAACATACCCTCAATTCATTTATTCAGCAAGTATTTATTAAGTGCCCATTATGTGCTAGGAATATCACAGGATTCTGAAAGTTAGGGCTTAAAGGGACAGTCTCTACAGAAATCTAGTCCCATCACTGCATACAAATCAGGGGAGTCTACATCTGTGCACTTGATTTTGGAGAGTGGGGTGCTGCCTGCTTTGAAATCAGGCTCCTGTGCACACAACTATCCTTGAGAGCACATCAATATTCACTTACTCAGGAGAACACATCTGACTCCTTAACTTATTGGCAACACCTACCCTTTCTAAGAGCCTATTTTTTAAACCTTTTTAAAAAATCCAACAACAACATTTATTGGAGGCAAACTACATGCCATGTCGTTGATACAGAGGTGAGGTCCCCATCCTGGGGGAACTCAAGTAATTACGGGAGCTACACCTGCAAACACAATATTGCTAAAGAGTGGTGAGAGATTTCAAAGAGGCATCACGGGGGACCTTCAGAATCAGAAAAAGAGTATCTCTCCACTAGAAAGAAGATTCTTTTTCTTGGAGTAAAGGAACCCTTTGAAATACAGCTATCACCTTCTCCAGGAAAGCCTGAGAGAGTGAGACCCTGCCCAGCAGCCAGAGAAATGGTGAGGACGCCTCCCTGTGCAGAGGGAGGGGAGGGCAGAGGGGCCCTGGCGTGAACACTGCTGGTCTCACCCCTTCCCAGGGGAGCCCTTCGGGAAGGGGGGTGGTTGGAAGTCTTTTCTCAGAATAGATAACATCCTGCTGGTAAAGAGCATCCTGAACCCAAGGAAGAAAGTGTTCCCATTATCCACTCACTTTAATTTATCCAAAGCCTGCTGCTGCTTCCCATTCAGGGTCCTTATCCAGAGATAACACAATTCAGGGGGAAGGAAGACTTGTTTAGAGAGGCCTGGAGAAATGCAGACGCAGGGATAAGAGGAGATCCCGTGCTTTCTGTCATCTCCCCTGAGGGAGATGCTCCTTCCTTGTCATATAGCTGTTAGTCAACATGTCAGAACACAGGCCTTAGCTATTTAAAACCAAGTTAACCCCCACTGCATTCATCACATGTCACAGTCTACCTTTCAGTTTGGGTTTCATTCTCACAGAAATTCAGAAAAGAAGCCTCTTTCCATTAGAGAAAAAAAAATAGTTTTTAGCTTGTAATAAACAGCCCCCTCCCTGTTTGATATGACGATCTCCTAGGGTTAACTAACAAACATTTTTAAAGTGATCATTTCACTTCTTTGAAAAGAATCCTTCTTGAGACAGGACATTATGATGCTCAGCAGTAGATAAATGTGAGGTGTAATGAAAACCTGTCGGCTTCCTAACAATTTGAAAACAGGTGAAGGATTAATTCTTAATGGACTGAGAACACTGACAGAAGGTAGCCTAGGAGTGTGAAAATCATGAATGCTAACAAACCTGAGCTGTGGTAAGTTCTTGGACTATCGAAGTTGAAGATCTACAGGTAACATGGAAGAGAATTGGGAAGAAAAATGAGCCCACAGCATCTCCGAAAGGGAACAGCGCCTTGCCCTGCACTTACCCCTCTGCTTTCTAGTTCATTACATAACTGGTGACTCGTGAACAGACGACCCATTTGTGTCACAAGACAAAAGTCCACGAAGGAAGTAGATGCAACCACATCTCAAGGCATTCATTTAACATAACATGACTGCAATTTTTCAGTCCCTGAAAATTCACTGGAAAGAATCCATTACCTTGAGCATGCGGATTTCTCGAAGGGCGATTTTCTTTATGACAGGGTCATCTTCTGATTCCAGAAACCTCTTGATGGCCACGATCTGACCCGTGTCCCTGTTTCTGCATTTGAAAACAACTCCATACGATCCTTCGCCAATTTTCCCAATTTTTTCATACTTCTCCATCACAGAGGAATAAACCTTCTGAAAATGGATCTTCACATAGCTTGAAAATCCGCTTATAAAATATTGGCACAGACTGACCGCAGTGGAGCCCCACTCAACGATGGGTCTTTGTCAAGGGCCTGGAGCAGAACAAGGGCACCTGTTCAAGAATTAGGAATTGACCCAGGAGCTTTAAAGCCTCGCCCTTCAGCAATGGCAACGTGACCAGATGACAGCCCAGAGCGAGGTAACCCAGTTTCAACCGTCTGTTACACACACCCTGCAAGTTAAAATGTAACCCATCATCCTAAAACGAGCCGAGTGGTAAGATAACCTATCTTTTTAATGTTATAGTCCATCCGATCTAGGACACATGAGCGGGCTGAGGTCGAGGAAGACGAAGGGCTTCCCCGGCTCCAATTTCAGGTCTGATTTCCCCGCAGCAAGAAGACACCGCGGGGCTCCCAGCGGGGGCGGCGGCGAGGCCCGAGGAGCGGAGACTGCGCCCCGAGAGGCGTCCGCCCCG